GGTTGCTCAGAAACGTAAGATTAAAACTATCTAAAACCATGGTGCTTATAGAAACAGGAGCCAACTCCCCAAAAGCCTGTCTGCATACAACAGGCATTTTTGTTGCTGTTTTTTAATTAGAAAAAGTAAATGGTCAATTAAAAAAAATAGTATTTTTCTGTATGGAAGGGAAAACAGAGACAGTTTGCTGGATTATACTATTACATCTGTATTCTTGTTGTTGTTAAGTTCTGATGAGTTGGATCTACCTTACAGCGACCCTGTCTAGGGTTTCTGAGGAGTGGCTGATGGGTTTGAACTGCCAATCTTAAGGTTAGCCGTCCAGTGATGATCCTACAGCACTACATAGAGACTCTGTTATTGTTGTTGTTGTTAAATGCTTTTGAGTCCTGACTCATAGCAGTCCTGTAGAGGGTTTTTGAGTGGTGGCTGGTGACTTTTAATTACCAAGTTTGCAGTTCAAATTGACCCTGTTGTCCAGTGCTCATCCTACAGAGCCACCCCAGGACTCCCACATAAAGAATATAGCCTTTCTTAAATTGCATGTGATAAGACAACACACACACTCAGAAAATATGCATGTCAGCATTGGTTCTTTCTACTTTTCAACAATTAAACAATTCAAATTCTTAAAAACAGAATATATTACAAGTCACCTTAAGGATTACGGTGCATTTGACCCACATGATATTTTCAGATCGCCTCATGTGCATGTAAAATTGGGACAGTGAATTAGGAAAACTGAAGAACTGAATTTGAATAATGGTAGTTGGAAGGAATATTTAATATACCACAGATTATCAGAACAATAAAAATAAATATATTGGAAGAAATGCAGGCAGAATGCTCCTTAGCAGTAAGGATGGCAATCCTTCATTATCACAAACTGTAGACATAATCTCTCGGGGCTCTGGAGAAGGACATTATGCTTGGCAAAGTAGGGTCTGACCAAAAGAGGAAGGCATTCAGTGAAATGGACTGACACAGTAGCTGCAACCATTGGCTCAAACACAGCAGTGACTGTGAGGATGGTGACAATATCTCCTACGGTTAAACTTCAGGTTATTATGAGTCAGAACCGACTTGATGGCACCTAACAACAACATATATTACATTTGTACTCAGCAGGAGAACAATACACAGAAGAAATAGCAGATTTAAGATTCGTAAAGTAAAATACTATCAAGCAAAAAACTCTGTACATGATAAAGACAATTATTCTGCCAATTCAGCAAGGAAAAAAAGAAGGCAAAACTTAGCAACCTTTTCCCATTATCCACGTAAAAAAAAAAGAAAATGAAAGAATTTGGAAACATTCAGAAAAGCATCACTATGATCAGAGTACAAGTTCAATTATTTTCCTTTGTCACTTTCAAAACACATATAAAATCAAATGCCTTCTGTCTTACGCTGGGTTTTCTAGAGAAAACCAGGGAAACATCTATATAAACACAAGTTTATTATTAAGGAAATGGCTTACAATTATAGAGTCCCAGGTCCCCAGAGGTAGAGAGAGAGCCTTTCCCTTGTGTCATTATATCTGGAGCTGGCCATACCTCCAAGGAAGCATCCTTTCAATTTATTAGCTGCTCACAGCCACTCATCATAGAGTTAACTATGCCTTTACTAGGTTACATCACCATGGGAATAAGCACATCTCAACCGCTAAACCTCTGGAAAGCCTGGCCTTGTCAAGTTGGCATAGAACCGTAACTATTACACCTTCCAACCCCATATTAAAAACCAGCGAAAACAATAGATGAAAATATCACAAGTTACGATGTCATTTATATCTATAGGATTTTATGCCTCCTGATATGCATTCATCTATAAATCATAATTTCCTAATATAAACATACATAGCTCACCTTTTAAAAGAAAGTATACAATCTGGATTTTTTTAAATTTTTCTGCAATGATATATTATTTGCTTGATGCTATGTATCCGTTAGTAATCATGTGGTGGTGGCTGTGTGCTGGTGAATTGACTCTGACTCATAGAGAATAGGGTTTGTATCAGGTTTCTGAGGCTGTAGATCTTTACAGGAGCAGAAATCCTCATTTTTCTCCTGTATAGTGACTGGTGCATTCAAACTGATGACCTAGCAGTTAGCAACTCAATGCATAACCCACTCTGACAGGGCTTCTTCAGAAACGATATAGTTCTAAAGTATCATAACATCCAATAACTTTACCAAGACTTCAAAATGTCAAGGCAGGAAAAAGAATGTATCAGAGCAATTATAATGTATTTCTTAAGTGGCAAATCTAAAGCAGAAGATAAATTATGCTGAGAAAAGAGAAAGGACGTAGAAACAGAATCATTCTGTAAATACAAAGATTACAACATTTGAGCAAGTAAAATGATTCCATAAGGTCACTTATTAAGCAATTAATTTATTCTATAAACTAAAATGAGCTGTATTTGTGAATCAGTGTAATTTTTCCTTTAATAACCACTTCCATATACATCCATAGTCCTGGTGTGGCCCTGTAAGATATGAACTGGATCACAAGGCTGGTCTGAACTGCAAAGTTGGTAGTTCAAACTCAGTGGACACTACTCAGAAACCCTATGCAAGGTCGCTATGAGTTGGAACTGACTCCATGGCACTTAGCAACAATATCATATAGATCCTGGAGTTACTATTTGAAAATAGTCCTAACATGGTACTGTACAATAAGCACTGGACTGCTAACAGAAATGTCGGTGGTTCAAACCCACTGGAGAGTTCTCAGAAACCATACACAGGTCACTATGAGTCAGAATCAATGTAGCAGTACTTAACAACAACAACAAAAAGGGAATATACTGTATCACCAATGCATTAAGGTGGTATTGTGAATGTTTTAACTGTTTCTTCAGTGTATACTCAAGAACTCCTAATGATACAGTGGTTAAGCACTCAGCTGATAACGGAAAATTTGGTGGTTCAAACTCACTAGCTGCTGGGGGATAAAGAGGTGACGGTCTGCTCCCATAAAGATTTATAGCCTTGGAAATCCTACGGGGCAAGTCTACTCAGTCCAACAGAGTCAGTATAAGTAAAATCAACTCAACGGCAACAGTTTGGTGTTTTAGGTTTAAAAGTATATTCAGCAAGATATTTTTTTAAAAATACTTTTTTTCCCCCCAAAATTACTTACAATGTATTTCCACAGGGATTTGCAGTGAAATGTTTCCTCCTCTCTATTCCTTGATTAACCATTGATATAACGGAGCCATACCGCATTAATTTTAAAGACTTTTAAAGGAGAAATTACAATTCCTGCTGTGATAATTGTGATACTACCCTAACTGTGGCAATCACTTTAAAACTACTCCTTTGCTTATCATTAGCAATGCTAAGTGATAAAAATAATTATATCAGGAGTATTCTGAGAAGAGACTGTTTAACCATTTTTAATATTCTGAAAAGCTCACTCTAAAAGAAAGTTCAGCACCCCAGATTGGGATAGTGTCTGATGACAGGGATCCTTCTCACTTCCTCCAGTTAATTAATACCCCCAGATGGTTCTCAATCTATCCATCTCTCAACCACTCTTCTCTCTAGCTACTTCCTTCACAGTTAGCGTTCATCAAACCAGTTGCCAGACCAGACTGACAATACGATAATCAAGGTAGAGCAATTTCTCTGGGACAAATCATTTCAGATTCAAGCCCGAAAGCTGCAGAACTGCTTTACCTCAAGGCAACCAGGCACCCGGCAAGTGGCAGATGCGTTACATTAAAAAGCACTGCACAGGAAGTACCAAGTAATCACTCCCGTCGTCTTCTCTATGTCCAGGAAATTTATATGGAAGATGTATAACGTCCTTACCATGAAACCTCAGCTGAAATAAGCGTCTGTCACTCAAAGTGCTGACAACTGATTTCATAAAACAATTGCCTTGCATTTAGCTTACTTCGAAAGAAAGTTAAAGTCATCCAAATGATTATTCCTCTGGAATGTTCAGAGTTCTTGACAAATGACAAAGTATCCTTGATAAACCAAAGAATAAACATGGATAAAATCCATCATGATTTTCCTGCTTATTATCTTATAAACATCTGGGTTTAATTCAAGCCAATGATATAGTTGAGAATCAGCCTAAGAGAATAAAATCCATTTTGAGAAACTGATTACACAAGAGAAGAGATAATGTGGAGTGCATACATGGATAAGGAGAATGCTTTTAGTAGCTACCAAAGGGCACAGAAGCAAAGTCGTAAAAGAGACTGTGATCCATTAACTCTGCTCAGTCAGTGAGGGTGTGTGTCAGTATCACTCATTTACTTGCTGTAACTGCTGCCAGAAAACAGACCAATACTAACTATTGCATTTTTAATAGCCTCTTTCTAAACAACTGTTGTTATTAAGTCCCTTTGAGTAGGGTATGACTCATAGAGTTTCTAAGGCATGGCTGATGGGTTTGAACCTCCAACCTTGCAATTAGCAGTACAGTGCTTACCCTAAGCACCATAACAGGCCTCCATACTTAAATTATTCGAACAAATGATTTAAAAATACATGCATTATGGATATTCAATGTTTTGGCAGCTCAAACCACCAGGAGCAACTAGGATGATAGCCTAGCAATCTGCTTCTGCAAGGTCACAGCCTTAAAAACCCTCCGGAGCAATTCGATTCCAGACATGTTATGGAAGATTTGGTCATTTTTTATTTGAATATGAAATAACAGTTTCAATTTAGGGACCTTAAGCTAAGTGGTGGTAGAAATGAACTATTGTAAGGGCCAACTCTGAAAAGATATGGGATGTTAAGCTTATTAAAAAAGCTTTCTTTAAAAAAA